TTACTGTGCCCTACCAGCTTGTGAGAAACTATTTGGTCTGTCCCCAAAGTGGTCACTGGTCAGAGAGAGACTCATGGTGGGGGCCAACATCTCAGTATGAGCAGCGCTGACTCTCTGACCTCTGTAATTGAGATGCAGGAAGAATACTGCGTTCGTATCAAATGAAAAACTATTTTAACGCAGACAGGAGGAGCGGTTGCCAGGGAAAATAAGTTGATCGAGGAGTTGTCTGCTCCTCGTGGTTTAGTGGTAAGACCTGCTGCCGAGTCTATGATTAGATTGAACATGCACTCGTTTAGCTCCGACTCGCTCCAGAAGGATGATCTGTGTGTCAAACAGCATCCCCCGGATAGGTCCTCGAAAAGAAATATTTTAACTGTCACGGACAGAAAAACCAAAACAGATGTTTTTTTTTTTTTTTGAGGCGAGACACAGAGAGACGGGGACATTTACCAGCTGACAGAAGAGTCAGGGGAGACAGTGAACACTCAGCTCAGGCAGTGCTGTCAGCAGGAGCCATGTGTTTCTCAATAGAAAAGTTGGAGAGATAGTCTGTGGCCACACGCGGCATTTCCTTTTTTCATGAAAGGCAGATAGCACACCAGGCAGCGTCCCAGCAGCTGATAAGAGCTCAGGCTCCTGACATGATGCTGTCGCCTGGAGTGCAACTGCGGCTTCAAAGCCAGTGACACGTCAGCTTTTAATCTGGGAATAGGAAAGGGCATCTAACAACTGGTGGTCAAAGTACAGTCCTGTGCTGGGATCAGACCAGGAGAGAAAAAAAAAGTATCACAACTGTATTTGTCTTCAGCATTTAAAAAGAGAAATTTCCTGAATATCACTTTAAATGTAGAAACAGGAAATTAATTTTCCACAATTTGGTTTTTTGTGAGCCGTTCCACCCTGCACTATCAAATAAGTTTTTTTCTTAAGGCTATAGCAGTTTGGGTCATCTACTGCATGTACCTTTACTGCATGGCAGCCTCAAAATAGGGCTGGCAGGTAAATCTTGGTTCGTCTTAGGTGTTTTCTTGGTCAGGTGCTCCTGTCACAAAATTTTGAAAAGAAAAAAAATAAATAATAATAAAATAATTATTTATATTATACTACTATATTCATATTGTATGTAAAATTCAGTCTGTCTCCAATTCGCACTTTTTTTTGCAGTACTGAAGGAGCAGAATATTGGTCAGTACTACACAGCATAAGACTTCTTTGACTTGGAGCTGACTGGTTTAAAGTTTGGTTCAGTTTAGAAAGCTGGATGTACTCCCATTTCAAACTGGTCAAAAGTCAGGATGAACCCGGGATAGTTGAGAAGTACGATGCAGCGCGTTGTTATTTGGAACAGTCGTTGGTGTCGATGTAAAACGGTCGACGGAGAGACAAATGCAGGAGCAGCTGGACAATGATGGAGGACACGCTGCTCCTTATGTCACAGTGGTAAGAAAAAGACCAGAGGCTTTGTATTTACAGAGCTCATTTAGGAAGCCCATTGCAGTCTGGAGTCACGGGTCAGCTGGCCATGAAACTATCACTTTCACTTAGAACTGAGGCAACGGGAAGAAAGACCAGGGAGGGATCAGATGAGAGTGTTGGTGAGGAGGGAGAAACACAATGAAGTAATATATAGCTTCTGAGAAAAAGGCAGAAGAGAAGGCAGGGGAAGAATGGAGGGCAAAATTCCACCTTACTGCAGTTTTCACTCTTCAAGGTCTAAACTGATGATGTGTATTCAGAAATCATCTATCTGCCTTAAACAAGCATCTTTAAACCCAGTCGGGTTCTTTTTACTGTCAGCAAACCTCTGTGGAACGGCCAAAACCAGCAATAATTTTAAAGTTACTTACACGGAGTTTGTTTCACCACAATAAACCTGACCGATGCAGTTTATTTTCAGTGAATTCCACATAAACCGCTCTGCCTCTGTACATAGCCATTAGGGAATTAAATGTTGAATCATTCTCTTTCTAAACTAGTACCCAGCAAAGTTGGCTTTGCTCAGCTCTTTTAGCAAACAGCCCCACTTGACTGTGGTCCACCTTCAGAGATCAACACACACTCTGGAACTGCAGTGGACAAAAAGGAAGATTAACAAATAAAAGCGTCAACTTTTCCATTGAATACTACTCACATTTCATACAAAAATGACATTGGAAAAATAATTGTCAGTATATTCTACAATAGCATTACGATATACACCATAGATACGGAACATCATTCCATTTGAGAGACGTGGACCATACAGTACATGATGAAAATGAACACAGCAGAGCGAGATAGCAAGGCCAAGAACAGAGATGAGGCTTCATCATCATTTTCACACAACATTACACTCTGATGATGTCACAGGAAATTGACAAGACAATTACGCTCTGATTAAAGTTATAATTTGTTAGAATATAAATACCACAGAGCAGATATGCTGTAGAAAAAGGGTTTTTTATGTTAAAGAAATTCTGACAAGTCAGAACTATTCTGCTCGACTTATTCAATTAAATAAGGGTCTAATTATTTCCAGGGTGAAATTCTGGTTCTGTGAAGAAAAGAAAAAAAAAGGTTTTTCATCATTTCATAAGTGGCTCGCAGCCAATTAAAAGTTTTTAAGTTTTACATCGATGGGTCTGGGAGGAAAATATTTTATAAAAAGTTTCTGTTTTTCTGTTCATTTGGCTTGTTTTGTTTTTTTCATTTCTTAAATTTATTTTTGCTAAACTATTTAACTAAGGAATTAAGTATAAATTATATTATGAATTATGTAGTCATATCATAATATTTTCATCCCTGGAAAATATGATCCTGAGATTTTGGGTAGTTTTGAAGACTTTATACATAACTGTCCTTCAGCAAACAAGTAGCTGTTATTTAGCTTAATAATATGTAATGTATATTTTTAACATTTTGCCATTTCTGCTACATTGTAGGCTAATACTCAGGTGGACCCTATTGTGCTAACTTCTAGTCATGTTTCAGGCTAATTCTTATGTTATGAGGAACTCTGTCATTTTTGCACAACCTTAAGATATTCACAGATTATCCTGCTAACCTTTAGCCACCATTCACTTTACCTGTGACCCTGCAAAGTTTTCGAGTGTCTGACATTTGTCAAACAGCTCGTCAACAAGTTGAGAATAACAATGGTATACATTATATAAGAGGCTTTGAATCATTAGTGGCTTTGCAAATATTTCTACCTGTTCTGACACTGAATAATTATTTTCCATTATTAAGATACAGATGAAACATATCTTAAGGAACAGAACACTGATGTGAACGCTCTGTGGGGAAACCTCCCTTTTTAAATGTTGCTAAGAAATGCTTAGATCACACTCATTAGCTTTAATCGCTGAAACCATTGGCATCAGCATCTGCAGACAAGTGTTATATTCTGACGTAGGTTGAAGGGCGTGTCACCCTGATTAGCCATGAGAACATCAGGCTTGTCAGTCATGGGTAATTGATAATAATGAGGACCTTTGCTCTACATGCGTTTCTCTTCCCTGACTTACATCACCCATGAGTAAAACTCTCTCTCTTTCCTCTCTCTCCATATTTGTCTATAGTAACATGACTTCTATTAATTTGAGTGTTTTCATCACTGTGTTGATGTTCTCATCCTCTGTGACAATTAGAAAGGTTCATTGTGCCCATAAAAACACTTCCTCTCTGCAATTTATTTTACAACAACCGCTTGCCTCCCATTTTCTCAAAGACATACTGCCATCTAGTGTGCATTATGGGAAATTGCACGTTGTGTAGCTTGTTGCGGTTGTATCATTTATTCATGGGCAATGCGCAATGAATTTTTTCCCACTAAAATATGTTCTAATGTTTCTAGTGTAGAAAGTTAAAATGTTTAAATCTACTTCAGGCATCCCTTTGTCTTATTTTGTCATTTGTTGTTGGGATTCCTGGTTTTTTTTAATGTTTTCGTAGACAGTTAAATAACACTGTCAATATTTATTTTTGTTGTTGATGGTTTATATAGTAAAACAGATCAAATCTTCATTCAGCTTTTGAACAGCAAGTTTTAGATCAAATGTAACTGTTGTGAAAGAAAAACGTTTTTGTTTTTTTCAATTTGACTATTTTTCTTTCTTTCTTTCTTTTTTTAAACTAACATTAATGTGTAAGTCAAACATTGCCAGTGAATCTCTTGCATTCAGTGCAGCCTTGACCCTCTGGGCAGTATCAGAGCTGCTGAAGTGCTTTGGCATCGGTGTGCAAGGATTAACACATCAAAAGCACTGTCGGGGCCTACAGCAGCATCTCACACTCAGTACAGCACCTTTCATGTTTTGCTCAGGTCTCCACAATTTCCCGTAAGCCAACAGCGAGTAAGACGGAAAAAGATAATGGCCCAACCTGCTGCTATCAGGCTCTCCCTCAGCTTCAGTGGAATATGTCAAATTCTGTGTGTTTGATGAAAGATTGGAGCTCAACAGGCGCAGGTCCGAAAACGATATCTGACTGTGTCACATGGTCGGGATGCAAACATGATTTAAGTCTGACATTCAGGCTGAAATTATTGCTGCAAGCTTGCACGGCCTTGCACTTGTCATGATGCAAACCGTCGTAGACGGTGCACAAGGATTTGAATTAAAGCCTGGGGTTAAGATATACAAGTACCAGGATTAAATCCCATTATTTATAAGCCTTAAGAGCTGGTAATTTAGCTGTTAGCTTCTTCCTGAATGATTAAAATAAACACTGCTCTGCTAAGATTTTTATGATACACAATAACCATCAGTCAGTGTCACAGTATAATCTGTTTTGTTCTAAACCTTTTTACTGCAGTATAATCTGTATTTGTACTCCCAGGGCTAAATGTGTAGCCCTTTGTATATGTCAAATTAACTTATATGGGGAGCATAAGGATACACTGGGTGCTTATAATGTGCATAAAAATGCAAATAAATGCATGGAGAGACTTTTACTGTTTAAATTTTACACTTTCTTTTCACTTACTGTTTGTCTCGAAACAACCTGTCTTTGCCTAGGTGGTTGACATAAAAGAGAAACTGAAGCTGTCCAAGAAATTTTGGTCCAACCTCCCTGAAGCGGTGTGTGTGGAGGACAGAGTGACCTCTGGAAATGCCAGTGATGAGGAGTGCTGGAATGGACACACCAAGGGCAGGTAAAAGCATCACAGCCCGGGGCTGACACAGAGCAGCACAAAAGGTTATTGAGAGGTCTGTTGAGTTCCCCTCTTGTGAGTCAGTCTAATCTTGGAATTTAGAAATCAGATTATTTTCTTCCACTGTGTTAAAGCTTTGCAAAAGCTCCTCAGACTGGGTTCTAGCAACTAAGTATACATGATTTGTTTTTTTACATGATGTTTTGTATCTGTATATTTACTACATGTGTTTTTATACTCTAAAACTTATTGACACATTCTGTGTTTTACTTCACATGAATACATGAAACATATTCAATCCATCATTATTAGATTTAATACTTAACATAAACATTTGCACAAATGCTACAAAATCCTTAAGAAAACTATTGTCAATAGTGTTTGATCTAACTGCATATGAGTAAACTATGTTAATATATCATGTTGATTTAGTCTTCCTGTGATTTAAAACCAAATGTAAACATTGCCTGTGTTAAGCGGTCGCAGATGTATATTAGTCCTTGTGACTGTAGCTTAGAGGTGGCAGACGTTTAAGGCTGAACATTTGTGGAATGCCGTCACATGACGACTGAATGAGAAGCTATGCATCAAAGAGGCTTGTTATCCCGTGAGAGAAAGCTCCATCATATCAGCTGGTTACCACAGGTGAAGGTCACATGTTTATTGTGACGATGTCACTAGTGCACAAGTATACAGATTTTTGATTATAAGAACTTAAGCAATGACCTGAAATGTTGTGTAATAAACCATTAACATTCTTCCAAATTTTGTATAATTTGTTACATCAAAGGTATTTTCCTGAAGTCCAGAAAGATGGGCTAACTAATCAGCTCAACAATCCTGAGGTGGGAGTGGACATCACACGTCCGGACACCCTTATACGACAGCAGATCATGGCGCTGAGGGTGATGACCAACAAACTGAAAAATGCCTACAACGGCAATGATATCTACTTTCAAGACTCAAGTAAGTCATTACGTGATTTGGAACACTGATTATTTTTCATTTATATGAATTAAACCGATTCCCAAATGTACTTCATATTACTGTATTACAAATTACACAGACACATCAGAAGAATGTTTTTTTTGTTGCTTTTTTAGCATGCGTCACCAATAACTTCTGTTAACAGACATTTAGAACAAGGACGGGAAATCTTTTGTTAAAAATGTGACATAAGTGTAGCTATTGCTAACAAAACATTACTTCTAGCAAATTAAAAATAAAATAGACAGCTAAGTATTTTAAGGCAAATGAGTGTATTTTCAGTCATTTTTGAGAAACTTTTATTTTCAAAGATTTGTTCAGGAACTTATTGGTATAGTATTTTACACATTGATCACATGTTGGCGTAACAAAAAAGTACATTTTTTCTGAATTTTAACCACAAAAATGGACATAGCTAAGTATTTTAAGTCAACTGAGTGCATTTTTAGTCATTTTTGAGAAACCTTTATTTTCGGAGATTTGTTCAGGAACTTATTGGTATAGTATTTTACACATTGATCACATGTTGGCGGAACAAAAAAGTATATTTTTTCTGAATTTTAACCATAAAAATGGACATAGCTAAGTATTTTAAGGCAAATTAGTGTATTTTCAGTCATTTTTGAGAAACTTTTATTTTCGGAGATTTGTTCAGGAACTTATTGGCGTAGTATTTTACACATTTATCACATGTTGGCGTAACAAAAAAGTACATTATTTCTGAATTTTAACCACAAAAATGGACATAGCCAAGTATTTTAAGGCAAATGAGGTTATTTTTAGTCATTTTTGAGAAACCTTTATTTTCGGAGATTTGTTCAGGAACTTATTGGTGTAGTATTTTACACATTGATCACATGTTGGCGGAACAAAAAAGTATATTTTTTCTGAATTTTAATCACAAAAATGGACATAGCTAAGTATTTTAAGTCAAATGAGTGTATTTTTAGTCATTTATGAGAAACTTTTATTTTCAAAGATTTGTTCAGGAACTTATTGGTGTAGTATTTTACACATTGATCACATGTTGGCGTTCCAAAAAAGTATATTTTTTCTGAATTTTAACCATAAAAATGGACATAGCTAAGTATTTTAAGGCAAATTAGTGTATTTTCAGTCATTTTTGAGAAACTTTTATTTTCGGAGATTTGTTCAGGAACTTATTGGTATAGTATTTTACACATTGATCTCATGTTGGCGTTCCAAAAAAGTATATTTTTTCTGAATTTTAACCACAAAAATGGACATAGCCAAGTATTTTAAGGCAAATGAGTGTATTTTTAGTCATTTTTGGGAAACCTTTATTTTCGGAGATTTGTTCAGGAACTTATTGGTGTAGTATTTTACACATTTATCACATGTTGGCGTAACAAAAAAGTACATTTTTTCTGAATTTTAACCATAAAAATGGACATAGCTAAGTATTTTAAGGCAAATTAGTGTATTTTCAGTCATTGTTGAGAAACTTTTATTTTCAAAGATTTGTTCAGGAACTTATTGGCGGAGTCTTTTACACATTTATCACATGTTGGCGTAACAAAAAAGTATATTTTTTCTGAATTTTAACCATAAAAATGGACATAGCTAAGTATTTTAAGTCAAATGAGTGTATTTTTAGTCATTTATGAGAAACTTTTATTTTCAAAGATTTGTTCAGGAACTTATTGGTATAGTATTTTACACATTGATCACATGTTGGCGGAACAAAAAAGTATATTTTTTCTGAATTTTAATCACAAAAATGGACATAGCTAAGTATTTTAAGTCAACTGAGTGCATTTTTAGTCATTTTTGAGAAATTTTTATTTTTGTCGATTTTTTCAGGAACTTATTGGTACAGTATTTAACTGTGATCAAATGTTGACGGACCAAAAAAGTATATATTTTCTAAATTGGTACCTGTTTACTTTTACAGTATAGTGTAGTATTGCAGTTTCTTGCAATTTATCTTGTTTCTTTTTGAGAGAAGTATCTAGTAACTATAAGTACTTAATTACTAATACTAATACTTTTACAAAGTAATTAGTATAATTACTTTGTAAAAGTAATGTGCTCACCAATAGTGTCCTTTGTTTGCTGTTGCAGGTGATGAAGGCAGTGGCTCAGGCAGTGGCAGTGGCTGCACAGACGCTTGCCCCACAGACTCAAACCCCACTGTTGCCACTGAAGCCCCTGTGGTAAAAGCCGATCGAAGCGGGCCCGTGGGTGATTCTGCTGTGCTCCACACACCCTCTGTAACCCTGCCAACATTGTTGGCTGTCTCTGTCCTGGAATTACATCGACAGTGGAGATAATGCTGGGGGCAGTGGGCCAAACATGGACAATGGTTTTATTTTCCTTCTTTTTTTTAGCAGTTTTTGTATTCAAGCAGAATGAATCCACTGTCACGCAGACAGTATTCAGGCTGCAAAACTTGAGGCTTGCTGAGACTGCTCTATAAAAAAAGAGAGCAGTCATGCATCATGATTTCTCAATATCCCAAAGATCATGCAGTGCCATCCGTAGACTTGATATTTCACAGCATCACTTAATCTAACACCGATGCTGCTCCAACTCAACAAACTCTGCTTCAGAGACTGAAAAAACATATATATATATATTTCTTGCACACTTGCCAGGTATTGATTTAGGGTAATGTGGACAAATATAACACGCACTTTTGATTGTTGATGATTTTTTTTAATGCAAAACTTGTTTGTGTGTTGAAACATGTTGAGAATGTGATAATACGATGCACCAAAATGGCAAAGGCACAATATGTTCCTTATGTATGTTTTATGTTCTATTTTAAACAAAAAAAGGGAATGATGATCTAAGTAATGAGATGTTATTCAGAAACATGTATTTTTAATTGAATATGTCTTAATATAATTCTCGTGCCATTAATGGATGGATTCGTTTAAACACTGTCACATTTTTACAACAGTCACATGGTGTCACCCGCTGTTTTATGGTACTTGAATGACAGATGCGGTCGGTCATGGGTTGGTCATCAGCCTCTCACCCTGTAGCCGTTTCAGAATCACACCTTAATAGGGGAAACGGCTGACACTTTTATCTACTCCTTTTGCCTCGCAACAAATGTATTATCTGCAGAATATTTTCATATCACGCTGGTTTCTTGGCTTGCCTTTAGGAGCGGTTCTCTGTTAATGTCCAGACACCAGTGCTGCCCTTGAGATGCTGAAACAGTAGTGTTGTGGGTGTGTGGACTTGGGGAGAGACAATGGAGGTTTGACATAAATTCTTATGCAAATTTAAATCTTCTTAATATATTCTACAGACTTTGGAGATGTTTACAGTTCGTTGGAAGTCTCTTCAGAAAATCAGACCGCTAAAATGAGACACAAAATTGTTTTTTAGGCTTTTTTAAATTGTTTTTAATCCAGAGTGATTAGACTTGCTCCATTTGGAAAGCATTCATTATTTCACTTTTAGGTTTCTTTTTTTTCTACCGCACAGGGTTACAATATTAAAGAATCATCAGTTGAAATATTAAGCCCAATTAAGGATTCACCTACTGTTTGTCTACAGTTAAAAAATAATTCATGTCGATTCACTTTGTGCCATGCTTCAGGAGAAATTGAGAGTTAAATCAGATATAACTATGTTTAAAATTGTACCTCATATTTATTGAGCACCGTGGGCAAAACTGGAGAAAAACAATCATTGGTTAATACTAACAGAGCAGAGCACTCCACATCTTAAGTTTTTGACTTTTTTTTTTTTGACCCAACCTTGCTTGTCTTTTTCCAGAGTTACAGCCTGGTGAATGTTCTACCTCTGTACCACTGTTACCACCCTGGGAAAAAGATGTTACCGTTAACATTGGAATCTGGTTAGAGCTGTGAAAAATTGTTGTCTTTCAACATGAGAACAAACTGAATCGCAGTTTCAAACTATTTCCCAAAGTTTAGATTTCAGATTTAAGAAATCCTGGGCCCAAATTCTGCAAAAAATGAATGGAGTGAACCTTCTGTCACTTCTGTTATAGCTCCAGTAAACAGTGGAACCCTCATAATTTAACAACAGAAGCGAATCTGACAAAATTGTAAACTTTAAATGGAAAAGAAAAATTGATCTGAATTCATTTTCATTTTTTGAACTGTAGATTCAGTTTATGCTCTTTAAAAGTTTTCAAATATTTAAATCTAATTGGTCAATTCCATTTTCTTAATTTAGAGGTGCAGTGTATAAGATGTAGCTAAGGTGATTGTACAGTCAGTTAGAGGGCTTTAAGGCTTTTGTATGTGAAGTCGGACCTAAAAGTTTGAAAAGGCAAAATAATTGTTTCTTTCTGCTATTGTTGTATACATCAGGAGAGCGTCCTTTATGTAGTCTTTGTAAGTGGCCCACAGTGGACACACCGTTAATCCTTTGCTGTTGTAATGAAAAGTAAAGGCATTTTTATGTCCCGTTAAGTTGGAACATTGAGGTAACGTGTCCTCATCCACTACGTCACCACTTCATGTTCCTTAGTCCCACATCGGGTGACATTTAAAGTTTAATCTGCTAAATTTTTGCTGATTTAAAATGCACTGTTGCAAAAAAAAAAAGTCTGATGGTTGTTAAAATATCAAATGAGAAAATACAGGACTTTACTAAAATAACTGTTATGCACAAGGTGAGTGTCTTATTAGGGGGAGAAGTAGCAAACGGCACACAGTGGGCACTAGAGATGCAAAGAAAGACTCCCTAAATTTATCTGTAAAGCCTGAGTGGTTATGTCGGCGGCAGAGACAGGCTTGAAGCCAACCACAGTCACCTGTGAAATGAGAATATGTGGAGACTGGACAGGACTGAACGCTCCACTAGAGCTCCTCAGCAGAGCGTACTTCTAGAGAATGTGAGAGGCTGGCTCAGCTGAGGAGGGTGGACAAAAAGCAGTCCGTCTGTAGGTCCACTGTTCTCTAAGAGTCCGTCAGCCTCTGTAACCAGCAGGCCTGCTAAGCTTACATATCCAGCCTGCAATGTCCCTGTTATGCCATTTTTTAAAATATATCGGTGAATATTTGTCAAGCTTGTTTTTTGTTTTTTTGTTTTTCTTTCCTTGTTCCATTTACTTCACTCTTTGCATCCACTTTGCTAGAACAAAAACACAGAAGGACAATTACAAAATGTGTCATTTGAAAGGTTTCTTTGGTATGAACTTTGACCTTACTGGATGCCCTTTTTATGTTTTGTATCATTGACCTTTTAATGGTAATATTTTTACAATAAAACACTGAAAACAGTTTTTTGGTCAGAGAACATATCTCAGAAAAAGGAAATCTTTAGAGTATTTTTTTCACTGTGAATGTATTTGATCATAACGTTGGGGTTGATATGTGATTTGAAAGACTCAAATGCAGAAAAAAGATGGTAAACAAATACGCCTTAATGTTTTTGAGTGCAATTAATATGAATGCATTTATGTCGCTCTTATTGAGAATAAATCTCAACATTCCAATACATTTGCATTTGTGGTACAGATTAAAAAAACATTTAAGAATTCACTCTAATACAGTGTGTCAGACATTTATGATCTGTCCCACATTAAGGTTAAAATAAAAGGTATTTTCAGATGAGCTGAATTAAATTAAGCAACAGTACAATCTGTGAGTACAGCAATTAACTTGTATAATTAAATGTAAGTAGAAATGTTAACTGGCACAGTGATTAAATGCATGTATCTCTATGGCATAATATGATTACATTCGTACAGTGTATGGTCACTACTAGACACTACAGAATTATATTTATATGTTATCTTATTTTTATTTTAATTGCTCACGATCTACCAACACTGCCTTGGCGATCTCCTGGTAGAGCCTGATCTACTTATCTGCTGCTGTGAAGTCTAGGCCTCCTCTGTGTACTTTCTATGTGTGAAGTCTGCCTTTATCAGCGGCTCAAAGCCACTCTTTCTCCGTTGATGCACGTAGAGCACAAAGATCAGGCAGAGCACCAGGAGACCGACGAAGACTCCTCCCAAGGTGGAGCCCAGCACGAACACGTTGGCTCCGCCGTCTGATTCTGAAAGAATACAATATATAAATATACTGTATATATCTTCGTAAGACAAGTTAATGTCAGCAAAATCTCTGTTCATCTTGTAGACAAATGATTATGTTAATTAGGTTTAAGAGTCATTAGAGAAAAATAGTTGATTTTAACATGCAACTAAAATGAAACTGTGATTGGTTTTCTGCTATGTACATTAACTACTTAACAAAAAGTAATCTGTTAGTTACTGTTACTTTTCCTTAAATAATAATCATCTTAAATAATTAATGACACTGTTTTAAAGTCTTGTAATTTGAACATATTGCTTACCATCTAAGTCAATAGCATAAGAATATCCCAGCTGTTCAGATGTGACAAAGATCTCTTCATTTGTGATCGGTGGGAAGAACGGAACCATGTTGTAGTCCCGGTTGTGACCGATGGGTGCCATTTCGTCTGGAAACGTGGCATTAGTTGGAAGGATCCTGCGCATCCACTCATCAAAAATGGCATCAGTAAAGGCATGGAGAACCTACGGGTTAAACGACCAGACAACACAAATTTTATTATTTTTTATTTTTTTGGAACGATAGCCCACTACTGTGCCATCTCAGTTTACAAAGTGGACAAACTGGTTCTTACCAGAAAAATTGGGTCATTAGCTGCAGAGTGTGACAGAGCGCTTGTTCCATTGAGCATGGAGTGGACCAGGTTGTGAAGGTTGTTGACTGATTCGTCCAGTTCTCCGTCTGGTTTATCATAACCTTCCAGTGCATTTCTGAGTAGAAGAACAGATGTAGCTAACAAATCCACTCCAAACTAAAGTTCAACTTCTGCACATTTTTATTTCGAGTGAATCAGCGGGAATTTTTTAAGACAAATGCTGATTCTAGAGTTTAGAAAAACAAGTTAATGTCAGCGAAGAACAGTTTGTAAGAAGTGTTGTGTTGGGTTATCATACCTGAAACTGAAGGAAGAGTTGGTAAAAAACGGGGAAGTGTCAAATTCTCGGATTCTAAGGCAGCTCCTGACATCATCCATGGAAGGCAGAGACATGTTTCCCTGCTCCATAATCCCTCGCTGAATGAAACCCTCGCTGGTGCCGTTACACAGAGTCACCAGGCGGTTGTAGTCATCAAGGCTGAGGATAAAATCAAAATTTGAACCAATTTATGCAATTATGTATTTTTTAGGGCTGTCAAACAATAAATATATTTGAATATGATTAATTACAGGATAACCTGCTAACCTGTTACACACCACTCCCCATCTGGAGAACCTGGACTGGTTACTGATGAGAGATGGGTTCTCGGGCTGTCGGGCCCCCAGCATGGAGTCAGTGCACACGTCACACTCGCTCTGCCCTGTGGCGAAATTCCAGTATGGTATTGCAAAGTTCTCATTCCCAGTCAGTCTCTGCAGAGAATACACACATTATTGAAGTATTACTTTACAGCATTAAACTCAGAATAGTTTACTTTGCTGCTTGACAGCCATTAAGCTCTGCACCAATCAAAGACCAATCAAAGATTTGTTTTCGCGCTATAAAGGTAAACAATATAACTTGCTGTGTGGGATTTGATTCAAATGTAATTAATATTTTGTCTTTTGTTTTTCTTTTCTGTTTGACCAATATGTTTACAGTTAGGAATGAGCCTAATTCAGGATTTAAATGAACTGTAACATTGTGTATGATACACACGTTGACTTTGGAATCATGTCACATGAAAAATTACTTATAATAATGTGCATTATTTTCTTTTAAGGGTTGACCGTACCTGCAGCTCTCTCTCCAGACTCAGAAGGTGAAACCTGTGCCAGGTAATGAAGGCCGGGCCTTTGTGTGAGAAATCAATGGCTTTAAATGGACGTCCTGGACCTGGGAGGTGAGTGGTCCACAAAGACAGAACAGTTCAGTACATTATCCATAGCTTAGAATGATGTTTCTGTACAGTTGTCTGCTTCCTCACAAAATACATGACTTGACATGTGTTGCTTAAAGATTAAAATTAAGTAAAAACAATTAAACAGGAACTTACTTTCATTAATTATTCATTGTTTTTTAGAAATGTGGCGAAGCTCATTTACCTAAAAGAGTGTCTCTCACTGAATAGTAATGTTGCCACACAAAGAAGTCGTAGATGGAGATGTTGGCCACCTGCGGCTCAGTTCCATTAGGTCCCAGGAGGCCGAGCCAGTGCTGGGTGGCAATAACATAATCTGGGTGAATGGTGTTCTTGGCCAGTTCCAGCGCATTGAGGAATTCCAGGAGCTCATCGGGGGTCAGAGAGTGGATGTTCTTCCGAACCACAGGGGATTTCCTTTGGTCACAGTTGGGACCAGTCCAGCCAAATTTACACTGGCCGCAGTTGTAACCTGCAAAGTTTCCTGTGAGACAGGGCACAAATGTCAAATATTTAAGGAGGTTTCACATTTATGCTACTGTTAGTGTGAGCGATTAGGATTTCAGATATTTCTTTCTACGTCTGAAAATCAGAGACTGAGTGAGTGTCAGACTCACCGGTACATCTGCATGTCTGATTGAAGAATTTTGTGGGCCACCGCTCTCTGTCGTCAACATTTCTCAGTCTGTAGGGTCCTCCCCAGGGTTTGTTGTCGACTCGAACTGCAGTACAGCTCCCTCTTCCCAACAGAGAGCCACACACATTGGCAGGATCTGAACCCAGAGCTGGGCAGCACTGCTTGGACACGATCCCCTCCACTGTACAGCACACTCGAGGAAACTGAGCCTGTGTACAATCAGGCCAGAGTAATAAACAAAGAAGGCTTAGACCCAAAGCCTTCATCATGTCTCACCGTCAGTATTCTTCTCCTCCAGTCACTCCTGAGAAATCAGTTTGTGGATCAAATTTGAGCAGTTTTACAGCAGATTAGTTTCAGCAGATAGCGTGGAATCACGGCGAGCTGCAAGGTTTATCCTCAGATTGAATTCAGCAGTAATGTAAACAGTGGTTAAAACAACACTAACGAAGCCAAATCATGCTGTTCTCCACTTGGTTACATGCACATTAAGGGAGTTTGTAGTTTCTCCCTCTTGCTTTGTAGAGCTGAGCAGGATTAAGTCATCAGTCTTGTGATGATCACCTGACAGCCAGGCTGAGAACTGCACAACAAGCCGGGTTCCTGCCTGCATTGCCCTAGGACGGCAGTTAAATCGTCATATGGTTATTCATTTCCTATAAGACGCATAAATGATGCCTTTTGTTGAATGGGAAGCACTGTTTATATTCCGCCAGTCAAGCCTTTCATATGACTCTATACTTAACACATGACTCGAGTCAGCCTCCTTAATGGTCACCTAAACAACACCCTGTCCCTAATTATGCCTGACATGACTTCAGTCCCGAACATTATTTCTGCCCCTTTAATCAGTCAGAATTATATTTGTGTTGGGGGCTGAGGAGGGTACAGTACATGTCCAGCCACCCAGGATGTCACGTTATGTTACTAAGGAATCCTGTGTATCTTTCACTGCGTATGTAGGTGTCTGTGTGTGCTGTCAACAAAATCAGATCAAATTAGATGATGTTGCAATTAGACAGCATCTATCCCATCAAATTGCAGGATAATTAATGAAAAGGACCTGTCTAACAAACAGCATTTGGTTTGAAGTTATAATAGTAAAAGTAGTTTCATTCAACAATAAAAACTACAAGGTGCTCAACAAAATAGAAATTGCAGTATGCAAAAAATGAAAATAACATTTTGAAAAAACAAATTCCATGAATTGTCATCATTTTTCACTTTGTGACCTAGGTGACGTTTAGGATTTTACCGAAAAATTCCCCAAATTCTTTTTTTATCTAAAAAATTCACCAAAAAGGCATATATGAGTGATTTTTGAAATATTCATAA